AGAGGTTACACTTATTATTTATTAAGCACCTGCTAGTTATCTCATTGCTAGATTCATGGCAGAGACAAAGAAGTGAGGATCATGGTCTCTTATGATGATAAGAATATGTGGTAGAAATCCACCAAGTTGTCCTCTCCCTTCAGCCTCTCTGGCCTTCAGATGAGAGATCTGACAGCTATTAATGTAGCAGCTATAGTCACACACCCAGAAGGTTATCATTTTAACTGATCTGCCATGAGTCATGATTAAAGGAACTGTCTTGAAAGCTTCACTAACTATGAACAAATTGCTCATTGCCAGCCCTAGTAGTTGCCCACCTGGTTTTCAACTCCCACACCATTTTGGGGTCTTTTAAAAAGAATAATTTTCAGATCTACACATTTACAATATATCCAAAATAGCAGACAAAATGAATATCTACATTGAAGAGAAAACTTAACATTCACTGCCATTGCGAGTCCCCATCAGAGCTTCCTTTTCCAGTCCTGATCCACTTTCATTATATGTGGCTAATGATAAAACTGCTACCCATTGCCTTGGCAACACATCCATGTGCTAAAAAAGGAAATAAAGCCTGAGGTTTATTTTAAATTTTCTATCCACCAGGTCTTTTACACTAATTTAGGAAATACTTTTTAAAAGGAATAGATAATAATAGCCTGCAAATAGTAACAGGAAAATAGTTCATGAGAGAAGACACTCATGAAAATGTATTAGAGTTTATTTTTTAAATATGAATCAAAGCATTTTGATGCCATTTGTGTTATTTAAAGTTATCCATTAAAATATTATTTCTGCTCTACAATTTATGCTATATTTAGTCTTTTAGTAACTTCCTGAATTTTTTGCATATTGAAGTTTCCCATATTAGAATTTACATATGGTTAAAGGAAATAAAATTACTCTGAGGAAACCCTAACTGTAGATTTGAAAACAATAAAAGATTAGTGCTTTAAAACTGTAGTGTGTAAATCAAATTAAAATGCAAGTGTAAAACTCAAGAATTTCTGAATCGTTATTTTATGTTCGCAGCAGAAGGAACTGTAGCCTCATAATTCAGTTACGTTATTCACATTACACTTCTACATTCCTGTGGTTCTAACTTTTCATTTTTTATCAAATTCTGTTGGTAAATGAAAAACAAAAGAAATAAAAGAGTTTTCAAAACTGGGCCTAAATATTAAAAAGTAGCAGATTGTAGAACAGCCAAACAGCCACAAAAGTATTCACAGCATTTTATTTCCATGGTTTGATTTGTTAGCTTGAAGCTACCGTTAGCAGTCATCTCAGGGCTTGCTCACAATTTAGGAAGTTGGCTAGGCAGTTTTCCCAGGAAACATGGCAGGGCTTGCATTTTGTTGGAATAGAAGCACATGTAGACTACATTTTGGGGCACAACGCCAGTCTGCATACTTCCTCAGCCTGTAATTAACAGTTGCTATTACAACAGGATCCTTATCTCCAAAGGGAGCCTTCTAATGAATTTATGTTTATCTTATTTCCAAAAGGATTGTTTTCCTGAACTATTGAATTCTGAAACTATTTAAAAATTATCTCAGTGTAGTTTGTTTTTTTAATTTATAGGGAATATTACATAGCTAATTAATTGAATACCTAGAGTACATAAGGATATCTGACTTTTTAAAAAATAAGTTACCAGCCCTGGCTAGATAGCTCAGTTGGTTAGAGCACCATCCCACATGCCAAGGTTGCAGGTTCCATCCCCAGTCAGGGCACATACAAGAATCAACCAACGAATGCATAAGTAAGTGGAACAATAAGTCGATATTTTTCTCTCTCTCTCTCTCTCAAATCAATAAATTAAAGACAATAAGTTACCAAAAGAGTATGATAACTTAAATAATTACTACTAACAGTAGTCTAGCACTCACTATGCTAAGTGCTTTTACGCATCATTCATTCATTCAACATATACCTCTTGTCTACTACGTGCACAATCCTAGGACAGCAGTGAACAAAACAAAATCCTTGCTTTCATGGAGCTGATGCTGCAGTAATAAGCAAACAACAATTAAATAAGTAAAGCATAAAACATGTGTGAAGAAAATAAATGCTATGGAGAATATATGTGTGTATAAGTATTTCATTCAAATGACAAGTTGACGTGAGCAGAAACCCAAAGGAGAAAATCCAAAATTGGATCTCAGGGGGGATGCTTGTTAAAGATCGCTGAACAACTATTTATTGAGGATTTCTTGTAACCACTTACCTTTTAATCTTTACAGCAGCACTTTGTGGTAGGCGTGTTTATTGCTCCCATTTTACAGGTAAGAGAAAACTGAGGCTTAAAAATGTAAAGGAACCTGCTTAAAGCCAAACTCCTTACCAAGGGCAAGCTAAGATTTAACTCGTATCTGCCTCACTCATAAGCTGTGCTTTTGACCATCTTTTTCCTGTCAAATCAAGATGTCAACATGCTCAATATCAGTGCCTATTTAACAGGATAGTTAATTACAACAACACACTTAAAAAGAAGAATAGCCTGGCTGGTGTGCCTCAGCTGCTGAGCATTGTCCCATGCACCAAGAGGTCACCGGTTTGATTCCTGGTCAGGGCACATGCCCAGGTTGCAGGCTCCCTCCCCGGAAGGGGGTGTGCAGGAGGCAGCTGATCGATGTTTCTCTCCTATCAATGTTTCTCTCTACCTTTCCCTTCCACTCTCTCTAAAATCAATAAAAACATATTTTTTAAAAGAGAGAAAGAAAGAAAAAGAAAAATCAATTTGAGAGAAAAAAAGTAAAGGAGGTTTGGCTCAATCAAATAAACAAATAATTTTTTTAAAAAAAGCTTCTCCACTCCCCTCTTGAGGGATCTAGATGGAGGCAGAGCAGACCATGTCAAGTTATGGCTCTCCGGGCACACACGAAAAAACAAAGGATGCCCTAGCTGGCCCTGGGGGGCAGGTACTGAAATCGTCCTTCAGAGCAGCCAAAAGAGGCGCTGAGCCAGGGAGAGGGAGGGAGGAAGAAGAGGTTAGGAACAGAGTTTGTTGTGGGAAGTCTCTATCAGCACTCCCCCTTCTGTTCACCCCTCTCTTTTCAACTGAACCTCAGTATCAGGGTTGGATATTTTCATCTGGCTACATCACTGAGCTCTTCACAAGGTATCATCTCCCTCCAGACTGGTCCTGCTGGGATGGGAGGAATTGCTTCCAAGACCTACCAGCCACATGACTTGACTTAAACACTAGTTCCTCAAGGCCTTAGCCATGAGGCTGGCTGGGAAAGGGTGGCAGAACTAGCACCATTTCCTTGTGCAGGACGGGCCCTTGGGCTTCCCCTTGCCCCCTGGAAGCTTGTGTGCATCAAGGGTATACCTGAAGATAACAGGGCATGCACAGGAAAACGGTAAAGCTGTGTTCCCGAGCCACTCCAGACCTGAATAAGTGGAGTTTTACAGTAATTACGCGATTTGAGGGAAAGTGAACATAGAAACCCAAGCAATCAAAGGAAGATGATCTTACTTAATACCAGGGATAGATGTTTTTCTTTCTGCCTCTCAAGTCCAAAGAGGAAGGTCAAGGACCCTTTCTGTTGAGCTTAGCTCTCAAGTCCTCAGCAGTCAGCTACGTGTGAAACACAATTAATAGCACAATAAATACAAGTTGTGGAAGATGAGATTGAAACTCAGAGGCCCCTTCGGGGGCCCCCTACGGAGCCGGTCATAAAGAGGGCTTCATCAACATTAGCAGGGCCGTTAAAAAGCATCGCCTATTAAAAGCGTGCTGTTCCCCTGGCGCCCCTCGCTGGAGCTTCTCCGTGGGGGGGTGTTCGTAGGAGAGGAGCCCGTGCGCATAGCGTGTTCTGGGTACAACGTGTATTTGTCAGAGGAAACAGAAGATCTCAGTGAGGAAGAACATATGTTTCTGAGACGGCATCTGTGCAAAACAGTACACAGTCCCTGCCGTGGTACTAAGAAGGAAAAAACTCCCGTATTATTTAAAAAATCGTTTCTTTCACACATGTCATCGTGGCACGATTCCTCCTACTGCTTTTTCCTGCCCGACCGACTAGCCCTTCCTCACCTTCAGGTGCAGGAAAACCACATGTTTGGAGCGGTCTGAGTCAGCCCGGCGGACCGGTAGCGCGCTCGGGGATCCCGGAGGCGCGGGGCCCAGGAAGGGGCGCGGCTCTCCGCGCGCACCTGTCCG